CTGCCAGTCTAGCCGTCATATTAAGATTAAGTACGGCTAGCCTCTTCCTTCTACGTCTAGATTCTAGATCTAAGTACAGTAGTTAGTACGGCTAGACTGGCAGTCCAGCGGTACTTATTAAGTACGGCTAGACTCTCAGGCTTGCTAGCAGGCTAGCCACTTCGATCTTGATCTAGATCTGGATTAGATCTTCTTCTTAGTCTTTAGTCTTTACTGTTTAGAACTTCATCATTGTCTTTTTGAAGGCTTAGAACTTAGGCCTACTTCTTGTTTACAAACCTTCCTTTCAACTTTGATCCTTTAAAATAAAAACTTGAGTCCCTCTCGCAGAAGCCCTTTTAGTCTCACCTTTGATCGAAAATTTAGGACACACGAATTCTGATTATTTTCAGTACAGTAGATCTAATGTTCAAAGTCCTCAAATCTAAACAGCTTCGTAATTTTTTCTCCCTGTATTTCCTGTTACACGACTCGCACAGATACGCGAGTGGCGTCCCTTGGAAGCTGAGCAGTGAGAATCATCCAATGAACGCCGAGGACCGAAATTGGTTACCTCCTGCTACTTCCGCCTTCTTCGACCCTCAGTCGGCACTCGGCAGTGAGTCGGCACTGCAACTCCCTGCCCTGCCTGCAAATCGGAGCTGTGTTGATGCTTTCTTTGATTGGAAGAATGCGCGGGTCATTCATGCATTTCGAGTCAATTTTAGACACGATTATGTGACAGTGTTGTTTTACTGAAACGATTGTGACAGGTGGATTTATTTTCTTACGCTGATTTATTTTGTTCTGGTGCTGTTATTGTAATGTAATCGGGTGCATTCTTCATTCTCAGACCAACTTGAAACTTGGAAGATGGTTCCTGTTTGTTTTTGTGGTCCAGAATAAATCAGTCTTCTCTTCTTACTTGCGTTCCGCAATAAACCGCTAGCTTTTGGTCCGAGTCTCGTGGTCTTTACTAGAATCTAGATAATCTAGGTTGCATTTGATAATTCTTTAATTGCAAATTTAAAAGCAAATGTTTTATTTTCTTGGCATGATAGAATGTTGATGATGCGATGCAACGTCAATCAATGATTCAGATTTCAGATTTGTGGTTGCTGAACAAGATCATGTTCAGAGAATCGGGATGTCGATTGAATGTAAACAAGGAGCAATCTCACGGAGTTCCATGGATCACACAACTAGATCTAGATCTAAATCTAGATCTATATTAAATTGGCCTAAATTACAGGCTAAATCACCGGCTTTGGGGGCTGCGCTTGTTATGTTGGTTGGATGGGGTAGTTTTCAAATAAGATGGTATCATAATCATATTCTAAAAAGAAATAAAGAACCAGCATTACATTCAGATCTCTTGTAATCTAGATCTAGAGTCTAGTAGTTTCGTGGCATGGTGAGATATAAGACCAGTTTGATTTTTAATCATAATGTAGGCCTAGCCTAATATACGAATTATTTTTGTGTAATATAGTAGGCTAGATCTAGATCTAGATTTTTCTAGATCTAGGTTAAGTTAATCTAATTTCATAATATAATGGAATATGAATATCATATAGATTCTAGATCTAGATCTAGATCTATATGAAAAACATAGCCTTCCTTTTAACTTATTTTTTTCTGAAAATAGCAGACGAAAGAGAGAGCAAGATCAACTCAAGAAGTGCCCTTGTGTGGAATCCAAGGCACTTATAATTGATCAATATTGAATTGACTTACTGTTCATCATATTGTCCTCAAGAAAACTAGAAAGTCTAGGTGAATAATCTTGATTGTCTTGGTAGTAGTGGTAGTACTGGTAGAATCTACTCTCAACATTCATTAAACTAGATATTTATTATTATATGACTAACTTACACTTTCTCTTTTACGCAATATGAATAGTCA